TAGCATTGACTTAAGTCTCCCTTCTTTGGTAGTTTGAATAAGTATCCTTTCTTCCAATCCTCGGGTACTTTGTCCTCTTTCCACACCTTCTCCAGTAATGGCGTCATCAACTCCGCTGTTGTCTCTGGGTCCATTTTCAATGCTTCTGCTGAGATTCCATCTGGTCCTGCTGCTTTCCCAGCTTTTAGCATCTTGATTGCATTCAGGACTTCTGATTTCGTCGGGGGGTTGATGTTCATTGGTAGTTCTGCTTCCGTTGTTGGTATTGTTGGGCGCGTTGTAGGTGGCGGTCGATTTAGAAGTCTTTTGAAGTGTTCAACCCAGTGTTTTCTTTGTTCCACCTCTTTGGTGATTGACTTTCCATTGTCATCATTTACTGGCTTAATCCGTGTCGACTCAAACTATGTAGCAGGAGGTATTTTAATTCCATTCGTATCAGGATCGTTACAGTCAAAAATCTAATAAAAAAAGTGTAAATATTAACCTGGAAGTGAACACAAGAAGAGCAAAAACATTAAGCTACTAATTTGGTTTACATTTCTAGACTTTTGCTTCATACAATACAGGAATATGGTTAGAGATAATGTTGAGTAGGTTGAAGAAAAGCGAACTGATTCACCACAAGTAATCGTTTGAAAATACGCGCCATTAGTTGTTTGTAGATATTTCAAAGAGTGACTGTACAAATGTTGATGAAATGTGTTGAGTTATATACGAGGATAGAAACGGTTCCACTAAAAAGGGAGAACCTTGTAGTATCACATAAATTTCTGTAATTTACGTAAGGAGAACGAATAAAATGTCTACTGAACTTTTGCACATCTGTGTTAAGCGATAGTATTTTTTATCGTTTTTACGTGCCCAGCAGCAAGCTTTTTTAATTATTTCTTTTGATAGCAGGTGAGATTTATTGATTCACTCTACAGATTTATATTTCTACCTTATTTCTTTGAATATGCTGTTATTTGATTGCGAACTTCTGCGTTACTACTGCGAATTTTATTTAGGTTATAAAACAGTAATGTGCATTTTATTTATTTTTTTGATTACAGCTTGATTCAACACCATATTTTTGGTACAGGTATGGAATTTTCAGCATTTGATATTGGTAGCCCAGATTTTGCAGGCCGGCCATAGATATCAGGTGTGCGTCGGCCGGGGATCGAACCCCGGACCACATGCACGATCGGCGAGAGTCATAACCGCTGTGCCACCGACGCAGAACACAATACGGCACCAATCCAATAATTCTTAGACTATATCTTTAGGTCATTTTCGAATATATGAATTTCCTGTCTGTGTTCCGCGGGATGATGAAAAAGTTAGTGGTTAAACATTCTTTATGAAATAGCTGAAAACTTTTACAACTGTTCAGTATTAGTCAGTCCCTGTCACTGAGATTTAGGATGCTTTCATTACTCCTTAAATAATTACTTCACCCATTTTTTCACCTGCTTTTCTATTATATGTAAGCAATATCTTCTTTCTGTCCCAGAAAAGAAACTCTACGCTAATTTAGTAGTCACCCTACAATTGTTTTTTCTATTTGTGAACTAGTCATTTGAAATGCATCTGTATAAATCTTGGAACTTTGATACTAAAGCTATTACTATTTATTTAGAAGTTTAAAATATTCACAGTTTGTTGGGTATTACTGAAAATTTCCATCGGTTGATTTAATTGGAACCAATCGGTTTTATGGCACATGTTGTCCCGTCTAAACACTTTACAGAGATATATATAGAAATAAAAATCGCCACAAGATTTATCTAAATTAGTTGATGATAAAATCTGCGTTGAGGCCAGTCAGTATTCCACATAACGGTTGGTAGAATAATATTTGTATGGTAAAAAGTGATGCTGGTGAAGAGGGAGTTTCCGAATTTCATGACTTTTTGATTGTGGTAATCATAATATGTTACCGATTGTCAGAGATTAAGAAGCAACACGTATAGAATACTGTTTGACAGAGAATTTTATGGAGATTTGCTTTTCAAGAGGTCTGATAGCCCCTGACTCAATCCCAAAGAACGTTTAGAACAAAAAGCAGTAGGTTCGCCTTTCAGTGATACGTTGCAACAGGAAGGGATCTGCATTCCGGATTGTATTATAATCCATAATTAAATCTGTATCTATTCTGTTTTTATAATGAGTGACAACTTGTAACGATGCACTTCTGTGAAATATTCTACTGTGACTTGCTTTTTTGTTTGTCTTTTAAAACATACAACACCACCACACAGGACTTCACTACTACTCAAATTGATGTATGATACTGAAGTTCATAGAATCTGTGCAGAAACATATGGGGTTATTTTTTATATTTTCTTTCCTCATGAAATTTGTGGTAAGATTAGTCACTACCTGCTTTACTCCTAAGAAGAAATCATGGAATTTTTTAAATCAAAAACAGAATTTCACCGAATAGAAATCTTTTCACATTATTTCGTTTCACTGATGAAGCACAACGTCTCTGAATTTCTTGCAATAAATGACTTTAACATATCACTAGAATATGCGTACGTACGTCTTACTTAATATTATAAACTCTATAATTTAGTTTCTGTGTAAGGCCGAAAGTAGATTTACATGATATTAGTCCTCAGATTAATAATTTAAAGGTGAAACTAATGTCAAATCACAGTGCACCAATACATACAACATTGTCTCCTAATTCAGATAGTTAGTGATATTGCACTCCTTTTTGACAGACTTTAGTCAACAATCAGGAATGCATTGTTTAATTAATTAAAATCAGGTGACCAACTGGTAAACATTAGTCAATCCTAGAGAAATTCATCTTTGGCTTGAATATACAAGTGATAAAATTTATGGTTTCAACACTAAATGATGTTGATTTAAATCTAGTAGGGGATAAGATTCTCTTTAAATACACAGTCACGGCATACTGATGAGTGCAAGTAGGCACAAAAGACAGTCAAAGCTATGGTTCCAAAAGACTGAACTGACTTTTATCATTCAATGATATATCAACTGCTACTTTTTTAAAACTTTGTTGTTCATTATTATTAAGAAAATGTCTTATACAGAAGATGATTAATAAATTCGCATAAGAGATATACAGATAGGAAAGTGTGCAGATTCAGAATGGTTTCAAATATACAAGCGATGACTTTCTAAACAAATTAAAGACCTAAACAATTAGGATACATTTCTAGCTCCTCATATAACGTGTGTGTGTGTGTGGTTAATGTTTTGAAGATCACAAACTAAATATTCTTAGTGAACATGCATGTCATTAAAATGCTGTTAATTCAATTACTGTAGTAATTAACATAGAAACGCAGGTGCGTTAATTTACCTGAATAAAAATAACAAAGTCCCTCGAATCTAAAGTCAACTAGGTAACGTATTGAAAGGAAAACCACAGAGAGGTAAGTTAAAACGCCTAAAATTTCAAAGTTGATCAGAAATATATATATATATATATATATGGTATTATGTGATTAGACGCCATTGATTGTAAGCTCTGGACTTAGGTCTGGTGCTTGTGACTGTAACTGACCGTGTGCTTCTCAACCGACAGTCTCTGTACACTGAATCTTAATATTTGGAATTAATGAAAATGGCAAACCATACTCTCCAAGTGTTAGTCTGTAAGGATTTGATTGGCTTTGAGTTGAAACATGGGCTGATATCAGTTAGAGAACCATTGAAAACCAGTGAGTCCTGGACAGCTGTTTTGTTCAAGTTAGTGACTGACTACAGGACGAAGTTGTTTGAAATTCTAGTGATAAATCTTGACCAGTGTGGTTCACAAGGTCTGTAGTCAGGACAAATACCCGCCAATGACACTGGCTGATGCCGGCGCTAAAAATGGCTAACTGATAGAAGTTAGAATCCACGGTTCATTACATTCCGTTCTAGTTGTCGGATGGTAGACAAAGTCACCTCGTAAATTAAAGGTCCTGCTAAAGTCAAAGACTAGAAGGAAACAGTTCTCTGGTACTTTCTGGTTTTCAATGGTTCTCCAACTTATATCAGTACACAATTAAACTTGAAATAAACCATACTTTTCTTTACCTGACTTTATTGACTAACTATGTGTCTTGACTGACATTAGTTTAGCGTTTTCCCCAACTGCTTCCAGTTTGGTTAACACTGTATGTTAGAATAGACGATGGGCAAGCTTGCACCATTACGAGTGGTAGTCACCTTGTAACAACAGAAGAAAATGGACAGGCAACAGATCGTTTATTAGGGAAATCAACACATATTTATAGATTTTCATGTACATGAATGTCAGATCATCTATATGTTTGTGGCGGGAGCAGGCTTACCAAAAATGGTACACAGTATTTTCCGTCAATATTTATGTCGCAAATATTGGTCGTGAGAAAATATAAACAAGACTGATTCAACAACCAATCACAGCAGACTTTGTGTAGGCAGATACAGTTAACATACAGATGACCTGACATTCAGGAAACAGTCAGAAGAAATGCAAGGTCAGCTTTCTGTGAGAAACAACCAATCAGAAGAGTGTGTTTGTTTGCTTGAATAAGCTACAATAATGTACATGAAAATATATAAATACGTGTCGATTTCCTTAATAAACGATCTGTTGCCTGGCCCTTGTCTTCTGTTGTTACATGTTAACTGTATACACCTACGCAAAGCATTTGTTCTCATTTTTCTCACGACTAATATTGAAGACATAAACATTGACGTAAATTACTGTCAACCAATTTTGACTAACAACCAGCTCTCGCCACAACCTCATTTAACCGAAGCTTACAGCTTCATCCGGTGTTTCAAATGAAACTATGAATGTAAAATTATTAGCATTCAACTGATGCCATCGTTCATGAAATGGCTGGATGTTTTGTGTATTTCATGAATAAGGCATTTTGAAGAGTTTTTTTCGGATACTACAGAGATTCCATCGATCATATTAATACGGACTAATTCTAAAACGAAAAATGCCCACATATACCTAAGAGCGAAAATATATTTCAAAATTCACTTTTATTCTCTTAAATGTATAATTAATTAATCAATGTTGCAGTGATTTTGAAATATAAACACACAAATAAAAGATGGCAAAATTTACTGCAATAAAATGTAGTCTTTTTTCTGAAAATTAAGATGCAATGGCTTTTCCTGGCTTCCATAATGTTTTCTTGACAAAACAATGAGATGTATTAGACCCATCGACAGAGCCATTACTTGATGGTGTCAGTAAAGCCTCTTCGGAATAATTTTGGTGCATTTGTGCAATCACATCAGACCAACATAGAGGCTGTAATTTATTGTCACTTGAAGAATTCTTTGAGTGAACATTTGATTTATTGTATTTGCTACGGTGTTTTGTAGGTTTTATTATCGGTTGTCTAAAATGTAGAAAAAAAGGAAGGTAAACAGCTGATAAACTGATCGTGTACATGCTAAAAAACAGATGCACTTTTATTTATCCTAACAAGTAATTATAATTGATTCACTAGTGGAATTCATCAACAAAACACTTTATTATTTTAATTTAATCTCTGCTTAAAGGGTTTAGAGAATCAGTGATTAAAGAACTATAATGAATTATCGTAAAACTATTTAGATTTCCTCAATTATATTCTTGTTGAAATTTGTTCAAAATCATAAAAATTAAACACCTCAAAGATGACGATTAGATTAAAAATGATAATGGTATTATTTATTGGTGGTAGTCAGCTGAGCGGATGGGGGCTTGCTTAAATCACTGAGGTACCAGCATTTTCATCCATCACAATAGTTAGACTCGTAAGCATTTCTCCTTGATTTATTCATGCAATTATTATCAAATGATCACTACATGAAGTCGCGCACATATTTAATTAGCTTTCAATAAAACGCTGTGCAGTTCTTGAAAGGAATGGAGAAAATCTGTTCAGAGTTGGTTCTCTCCTTATATGCAACAAACACTGCAACGTCACCTGATATACTTCATGTGAATCTTGTATGAAGAGGAAATTTCTCATGTTATCTGAAATAGAGCTTCATTATTATTAACTGTTGCAAGGAAGAATGGGAAAATGTTGGATGTTGAATAAAAGTAATGAGGAGACTCTATGAATAAAACGTTTACTACTAAATGACTTGGATTAAAATCTCTGATGGGATATGCCATCAGAAAATACAATTTCTCAATAATTCCTGGGTTTTAAACACTCTCTAGGTGATATCCATTCTGGACTAATAATTATTCATTAGAAATAACTTACAAGCTTTCCTGTTCATTTGACTGCTGTAAAGCAGTAGGTTGAACTGAACTCCAAAATGATATACCAGGTAACTTTTCTTCCCTTTTTAACCTCAGAGGTTTTTCTTCATCTTTAACAGGACTTCGTGCCTTAGAATACTCTGGAAAGTAACTGATATAAAATGTACCAATATAGTTCAGTGGGTAAAAATAAGGTAGTAGTAGCGTAAGCTTATGAATATCAAGCCAATGATGTACTGTACAAATCACCAGTCAAGCGTATTCTTTTTTATGTGGAAGACCGTTATGAAGTCACTTGTAATCGTACGCAAGGTTAGATTTATTTGTTTTGTCATATACAGTTAATAGTTTTAGGCAGAGAATTCTATGAAGGCTGTTATCTAACCCACTTGACAATTATCAACTTAAGTCATTTCTTGAGTTCATCAGATATTTGCCTATCTGATGAAAAACAAGTAGACTCAACAACATTTTACTGACTTACTGTATGGTTGACACACATAGCAGGTGTCTTGTATAATAGTTCACTAGTGATGAAATCAAAAAGTGATCAGTATTTTAATGGGGAAACCCATGTTAGATAAATAAGCTAGGTCAACCTTTCCTTTATGCAGCTAACTGAGACAACAACAATACATATCTATCACCATCATAAATAAGTTCCTACTGAAACCGTCTAAGATTGAAGAAAAGTTAACGTAAGCAGACGTTAAAGGTGACACTGTTGCATTAAGTCTCTTATCGTTTGAATAATATGGGGAGGTATAGGGCTGAATGAGGCCCTCTAGATTTTTAAAATCTGTAGTTGAATACTTTGATTGATATGACCTGAAGCCATTCATTGTAACATAGAACTGTTTACTCTGAATTCCTTTTGTAACTCTAAACATCCTCACAAATTTTTATTTTCCTGTTTTCTCTATGTTTGCACCTACTGTAGTATAATATTGTTTCACTTCTTTTTTTCTTTTCTTCTACAACAGCTCTATATGACCTACTTCTGTACATAATTCTAGGTAGATCTTTTTTTCTGTAAAACAAATTTTTAGTTTTCCTTTTACATAGATAATTAAGATGGAATAAATGCAGAAATTTCCGTCGATTACAACTTTCTTAAGAGATTGCAGTTTCAATTGGCTAACTGTTTGCTAATAAAATCGTCACTAAGACCTAAAGTCGATTTTAGGGTCTAAAATGTTTACTTGTTTGCCTATAAATCGAAATACTACCTATTTGGTTTACTAGTGAAATGACACCAGTTAAAAACTGTTGAAGTTCAAGAAGCATTTGACAGCCTCTCCGTTCTAACTTGTGACTGTTTAACAATGCACATTAATAAATCCGAACAAAACCTAGTCGAAGAATGTGTTTGATTAGGTTTATTAGCTTTAAATTTAGCTGTGACCTTTCAAGGTATTAATGAGAAGCCAAAAATTACGAGGTTAGCTTAGTCAGCTGTGAAAAGCGATTATTCACTGGCGGTATTAGATGATGGCGTGTTGTTAGAAGTAGTAGAACGCAGCTATTGAGATTCACATACAATGAACGGATTTTTGTTTCATCACTGACACATCAAGCCGTCTTGCGCTAGATTCGAAGTAGCACCTTTAACAGACACTGTAAGGGGGTGGGAATTCTCAATAGAGAGGGGGTGGTTTTTAGCACTTCTTAGCTTTAACGACCATCCAAGTGGTGAGTGGAAATGACAGAATTACATTTCAGTAGATGTTTACCGTACCAAACACTTCATTTTCCCGCCAGGTCAGAAAACCAGGGCCTTCAAATTGACAAAATAACGTATATACTGTGGACATATTTCATATTAATAAGAATACTAACATTCCTTGGAATATTTTCACATTCTGCTTTGTCTATCTAATATCATGTACGAACAATGCCAAGACATGTGTCCGCGTTTTAATCTACCCTGTTGGTTAGATTCGAATTACTTAGTACAATACAAATAATAAAACAAATGTATCTATTTAGCATTTAGATGGTTGCTAATTAAACTTCTGGCAATTGAAATGAAAGTCCCACTTAATTTTCAACGACCTAAATGTGGAAAGTAATTTGTTGTGAATTAAAATGTTCGATTGATGAGGATTAAAATGCCAAGATTACAGTTAAATTCCTATTATTATTGTTATTCCCTTGATTCCAAGTGGAATATAAGGCTTCAGCAGCACATCTCGACTTTGTCCTGTTCTCTGCAGTCTTCTTAATCTGGCCTCACAACCACTCAAAATTTTTCATCTTTTCTTCCCACGATCTCCTCTATGTCACCCTCAAAACCACACGCGACTCATCGTTTTCCATGCGCGTTCCACTAGGGCAATGACTTGGCGTGTGATGTCACACAACAGCCTTCTCAGCATATTTGTTGGTTGGGCGATAGGTTTTTGACTGGTTCGTCACCAAAGTCCCTTGTTTCTAATACTCTTTGGCCACCTGATCTTCAGTATAGAGGCCTCTACAGAAACAGCCTATTGAAATGCTTTCCGTGACGCGCGTGTCTTGTCTCTGAATCATATGACGATGGCGTTGGAAATCCAAATCTACCCCCTTATGTTGAGTGCAGAAGATTTCCACACTGATTTCAGAGTGATGAACTTCTCGTTGCCTTTCCGATTTTGGCTGGTTTTGACATCTTTAGCAGTGCCATCTGTAGTTGGAAATATGCTGCTTAGAGAAATGAAATAGATGACTTCATTCAAATTTCTTTCATAGATGGTGATTGGTACTTGTTGTTGTTAGGTTATCTTTGTCATTCTTGTCTTATGTATGTTTACTTGAAGTCCTGTTATGCCACTTCAGTTACCAACTGGTTTGTTTTCGCCTTACTTCTTAATACTGCACCATAACCTTAGATGAATTCAATCAAATAAATGGATTCAATTTTTAAGGACAAATACGTTGAAACAAAATCAGGATATCTTATATTACACAGAATGCGTTAACCGTGTGTTAGTTCGCTTACTTCGGCGAATCATACAGTGATACAGTACTGTTTACTGGATTACGTGTTGAATGTATTAAGAATATCATCTGATGCAACGTCTTCAAGCATTGGTCATTTTAAAACATGCTAAATTAGAATACCACTGGTTTCAGCTAAGTAACCAACTAAGTGCAGAGTTAATATCAGTTGAAATTAAAGATATTTTAATTAAAATGTCAGTACTCGAAGTTGCTGAATAATTTAATATGGCACACCTGTAACAGAAGAGTGATTGATTTAAATTACTTTATTTAAATACAAAAAAATGTTCGAATTCCATATGTTTATCCTAAAGCTTAACACTTTCTTGACTTTTTTGTTTAGCTCAACACATAGGAGAACTGAATTGTTTCAGCAAAATTTTTAAAAATGTATAAAATCTACCAGCTGACTGAAGAAAGTAATTACTGTTAGTGTTTACACCTCAGTGTTGTCCTAAATTTATCATTTTACTATAGATTGTGACAATTTAGTTGATCGGTTAACATCCGCAGGGAAATCACGCTCACTGTCTAGCCCTACTTGGATTGATTTGTCCCAAAGCTTTATAAATCTATAAATGTAATGGTGAATGGTAAGTACATTGATCCCAAAAGGAACTAAGGTTTCATTGAGATCTTATATTGATCTCAATGATCAATACTTAGGCAAGTAAAAAACTAAGCATAGCGGGGCTTAGTACCAACTGACGGCCAACATTTAATCAATTTCAAGAGTGAAGATGAACCATATGCTGTTAACTAGGTCATATCACTACCAAACCACTCCTTCAAGTTATTTATTGAATCGCTGTAGAATAAGAGCAGGAAAGATCAGCAACAGAGGTCTCTGAAAACGAACCAACCTAGCAGGAACCAAATGTGCAACGAATATGCAAGAAGAAATGGAGGTAGATCGGCCGTACTTTGAGAAAACCCTCAAGTGACATCACATGCCAACCCATCACTCGAGTGGAACCTGAATAGGAACCGGCGAGTTGGTCGTAAGTAGGAGGGTGACATGGAAGAGGTCAAGCAAAGAGGAGATGAAAGCATGTGGGCAGACGTGGAGTCAGGTGTAAACATATGAGGAGAACCGGTGGTAATGGAGACTTGAGGCTGAAGCTTTATGTTCCTCTAGGAACTAAAGGAGACAATAATGATAATATATATTGATAGAATGTCTGTACATAATTATTACCTGAACCTTATTATTTTATTTATCCGCTGTACAAATAATTAAATATTCGAGAGCATCTAGCAACCAACATTCTGAACAAAGATTTTATCGACAGATTCACCTATTTATCCATTTTTGATGAATGATGAGTGAATTTTAGAAATTTTATTGCATTTTACTATAACATTTGACATCTAAAAAACGTGATAATAAAATGTGACGGCTGGTTTAAATCATTTGGCTACTTAATTTCCCTCAGATCACAATGCATCAAATGTACTCAGTTATACTTTGCTTTAACTACCTATTTATGTCCTTGAAGAATAGCCTGTACTCATGGGCACTTTTGAATAGATTTCAATACACCCCTTGGTCTGTTTTGGTGGGTAGAATATATCTGGGGTCGGAGCGTGTTACAAACAGGACAAAATTTCGTCGAATGACATTATTGTTTTATTTGAAGGTTATGTATGAGGAATGGATAAAATCAAGATGGAAACTGTACATTATATATATATATATATATATATATATATATATATATATATATATATATATATATATATACGTATTATTCAGAATAAAGCTTGTTTCTGATGCTTAATGTGGCTTTATGTAGTGTGCCCAATAAACGTCGAAAAAGGATATTATCACAAGGGGTGCGCAAACATCCTAATGACTACAGCGTCACCGAAAGACGTCTATCAACTATTCCATTTCAGTGGAAAATCCTTGAAGTGAAATCCCTTTAATCAAAAGTCACTTTAGCAGCTAAACACAAATATAATGAAATATTAACATGTTCATATAATATAATATGTTCATACCTTGTCATACAAACTTACTTCTCCAATGGTTGAAGATCACTATCAATAAATGAAGCATACTGTTTATTTTTTAATGACGGACATAATGACACTAGTTCATTTGCTTTTTGTCTATTAATTTTAGCTTTCAAATTCAAATTCTCCACCTGTTGGCCTTTTAATGATGAAGAAAAATTATTGTCTTCAATTGTTTTAATTGCATCTTTTAAATCTTGTTGAAATGATAAAATTCGAAATTGATCTTGGTTTCTTTTAGCCCATGAGGCAGCTAGATTGACTTTACGTAGTTTCTTTTCCAAATGAGGGGCTTTTAAATTTTTCAATACATTTGATAATGAACTGGAAGGATTTTCACGAATGAAGTCACATAAAGGTGGCTAGATAGTTATCAGAGAAAAACATGTTATCGATTTAGAGTTATTTACTTAAAGAAACAATATTTATGGGAATCAAATCCAGTGTGTCAGTCAAAAAGCTACTTTAAATCAAGCAGTGCAACTGTTTTTTTGTAATTTAAGTTCGATCAGAACTACGCACTCATGGCTCCATGTACAGTGGAGTCTACCAGGTATTGTGGGATGCAGTGTTTTTTAATATCTGCCAACTGACGACATCACTTTCCATCAATGAATAACTGATTTCACGAAAGATTTGATTGTTCCTACAATCACACTACAGCTTTTCATCAGAAGTGAAATTATTCTCGAATCAACTTGTCATTTAGATTCTAGTTGCTATTCATTGAGAATATTTGAAGCAGAATGACTGATTTCAGTGTGGTCTTTTCATCTCAGATAGAATTTACCTACTGCGTCAAATGTTTCCAACTTAACCACAATGAAGACAAGTGTACCGTCATTCTACATAACCTTAGCACTTCCTAATATTCAAGACGCAGAATTAAATTGAAAAACTTCACATAAATGCATCCCTTCATGTCACCACATCTTTAAACAGAAGAAAAAAGGTAACAGACTGAACAGTGAAATGGTATGACCATCTCACCTGCATCGACCAAGATGGCTAGGACGCGTGTTACCTATGCCAAGCTATTGCTTTCCACGCTGAGCAACGTTAGCTGACATATAATTGGGTTAGTAAAGACTTGTAGGTGGTCAAACCAAAATATAACATAAATCCATAAGATTATTGACTTTTGATTCGGGTCACTCATGGAGGTGTAGACTATCTAACTGGTCCCCAAAAATCAGTGACTGGAGACTGATGATGGTTAGTAAAATATTCATTATTCTTTATGTAATTATCTTTCCTTTTTTACACTGCTGTTCAATGCAGTCTCCTTATCATTTGTTCTTAATTCAGTTTCGATTCTCCAGTTGGACCAAAATGTTTAGCCTTTGTTAACATGTCGGCTCTTAGTACGGACGCTTCAACGATGTCTAAAATTGACTTAAGGAGATATCTCTGGTAACTCAAGTGGTCTAATGGGTAATGCTCTGGAGTTTAAAACTGTGGGTAATGGATTCGAATCTCACGTGTGTTTGGCGAAATGAGTATCGCAGACTGTGATGCTTAGTCACCATCCACTAGATTACTTCACACTTTATTCACATTTATTTATTTTCTCCACCTTTATGTGCACTTCATTAGCGTTACAACGTGAGCTACTAAATTTTCCTGCAAAATCCTACATTGAAAATCTACTTCACTGCCTAATTACAGTTACGTCTTTCGTACAGAGTCAGAAAACCTCATTTCACAACACTGGAGATATTGTCTAGAAGGATAATAATAGGAAAATTCGTGTGTGGAAGCTTCACAATTAATCCATCGACCTCAGAGAACACGAAAACACTGAAAATCAACTATATAAATAATTGCAGCGATCAGCATGTGCCAGCAGTTTATTCCATATCACTGAACCAGCTTAAATGGTAACTATTATTTTCTGTAACAGATTTTGTAATCTATCTTTCGACCCTTCAGTCATCGTTCTGTCTGTCTGTCTGTTTTCGACATAGAACTTTGCACAAATGTGCGGAAGTTCAAGTCGCCACACTCCGTGTAGCACGCGAAGCAAGAGAAGAAAGTACAAGAAAAGCATAATAGAAACAGTGAGCAGAGGTGTGAGATAAAGGAGTAATAAAGAAAAACAAAACAGTTTCATTGGAGATCATAAGTCACAAGGAGTGGATGCATCTGCGCCACTGAGAACGATTTTGAGCCATGTCACCAATTGTTTCCAACCATAGATTTTTGCCGTCCCGAGGACCCAGCCTGGAAGTCTACACCTTCCTACGTGGCTTAGACCAACTGTTGTGGATTTCATTGACTGGTACCAAGTTTTTGTTTGACCGCCGCTAGCTTTTTTCCAGCCTGACCATATGTCAGCTAACATTGCCCATTATCGAGGAAGGCGATGACTAGGAATACGTAACACATGTCCTAACCATCTCAGTCTTTGTAACTTCACGACTTCGTCGGTTGATTTCCTCTGTTTACCTAGAACTCTACGCCTAACCTCAATGTTGCTCACCTTATTATGCCACTTTACACGGGAAATAGAGCGCAGGCACCTATGATTAAACACAGCTAGTCTTTTCATGTCTTCCACTCTCAGTGGCCAGGTCTCACAACCATAAAGGAGGACGGAGCGGACTGATGAGCAGTACACCCGCCCTCTGGTCAATAGTCGAACATCTCGTCTACGCCAGAGTCGGCGTAAACTGGCAAATGCGAAACGAGCCCCCTGTATTCGTGCTGAGATTTCGTCAGAGATCAACCCGTTGGGGCTGATGGTACTTCCCAAATAAGTGAAGCGGTCAACGTGCTCTACCACTTCACTTCCTATTTTTAAACTAGGCGTCGATGTAGTCCAGTCCTGTAACATCATCTTGCATTTCACGGCGGGAGCGAATCGCATGCCAAACATTCGTAGATTGCGGCTCAAGGTGTTTAGAAGACTCTGAATTTTGTCAGCGTCTTCGCCTAGAAGGACTATATCGTCTGCGTAATCCAAGTCAACGAGATTATTCCCTGGTAGCACAGTGGTTAGGACTCTCGCCAACCATGCACATGGTCCGGGGTTCGAGCCAACGCCGACGCACACCTGATATCTATGGTTGGCCTGCAAAATTTGGGCTACCGATATCCATGCTGAAAATTCCATACTTGTACCAAAAATACGGTGTGGAATCAAGCTGTAATCAAAAAAAAAAATTCCAAGTCAACGAGATTATTCCCTGGTAGCAAGTCAATCCCTGAGTCGCTGAAGTCACTTAGGGTTAAGTCCATTAACACATCTATGATGAAGTTGAATAGAAAAGGGGATAATGGGCATCCTTGACGGACACCACTGGTCGTCATCAGTTCAGATGACAGCTCGCCGTAAGCCCTCACCTGGCTGTATGAGTACGAGTAGAGTGCCTTAATCAGTGCAATATATTTTCTCGGAATTCCCTTTACAGCCAAGCATCTCCAGAGAACTTCTCGATCGACAGAGTCGAATGCTGCCTTTAGGTCAAGAAATATAATGACTGTTGGACGCCGGTAGGAATGCCTATGTTCTAGAATCTGTCGGAGGGTGAAGATATGATCAATACACCCTCTTCCTGGTCTAAAGCCTGCCTGGCTCTCTCGTGTTTGTGCCTCCCGAGCACCACTCAGTCTACGCATGATTATTGAGCCTAAGACTTTAGATACTATATTAGTCAAGCTAATCCCTCTGTGATTATCACAGGAAGACTTGTCTCCCTTCTTGTATATGGGGATAATCAGTGACTTACACCAACCCGATGGGACTTCTTCTGATTCCCAGACGCTGCCTAGTACCTCAGTTAATGCAGACAGTAAGCTGTCTCCACCGTACTTAAATACCTCTGGAGTCATTCCATCAGGTCCCGCTGCTTTGCCTAGTTTCAGATTGGTGACAGCTTTAGTAACCTCAGTTAGGGATGGAGGACCTGTGTCTATATCCCATTCAGGGAGGTGTTGGATGCTCGGAAGGTTGAGCGTGGCTGTGGGCCAATTAAACTGCTCCTCATAATGCTCTTTCCAACGATCCAGTCGTCTATCCTGGGAGCTAATTATAGTGCCATTTTTTTCCGAGATTGTCTCACTGATGATTTGTCTTCTCCCACCCGTTTCCCTGATGAGTCTAAAGAGTTGCCTGGTGTTGCCTATCCTCGAAGCTTTCTCCATCTCTTTGGCTTTTGTCGCCCACCACTGTTCACGGTCCTTGCGGAGACTTTTCGTAAGTTTCCTCTTGTGCAGCTTTCGCTCCTCATTGAATTCGGAGCTCGCCGGAATAAGTCTTCTAGCATCTATCAGTTCGGATGAGGCGGTGGAGATCCAGTGGTTTTTACTCACCTTTGGGTTTACCTTATTCACAGCTTTTACAGCTGTATCTATGGCTGCCTGGATATTTTTCCAAGCTTCTTCAGGGTGAGCACAGCTGTCGAACACAGATATGTGTTTAGCTAGTTCTTCCTCAAATACGGATTTAGTTTCCTGATCGAGCTGGGGACGTGATGGTTTTACCGCCAGCTGTTTCCTACGTCCGTTCAGTCGTAAGCACACCCGAGCGCGGACCAGTGCATGGTCGGTATCTACACACGTGTTCCAGAAGGAGCGACAATCTCCTACCGACCCACGCCAACGATAGCTTATTGCTATGTGGTCTATTTGTGTCCAGCGTTGGTTTGATGAAGGGGGTCTCCAAGTCAAACAGTGTCTCTCCTTGTGTTTGAAGTTAGTGCTTACAAGAAACAAATGATTATCAAAGCAGAACTGTAGGAGACGGTCACCGTTGTCGGTTCGCTGGCACGGAACTCCATAGGTGCCACCGACATCCTTCTCAGATTGACACAATTTCCCTACTTGAGCGTTAAAGTCACCAGCTAGAACGACTATGTCTGAGCGTTTAGCCTTTCGCACCAAACTAGACAGCTTTTGGTAGAACTCATCCTTCGTTTCATCTGAACTGCAGTCAGTGGGGGCGTAGGCGGAGATTACGAAAAGGCATCGGCGAGTAGTGCAGTCCTTCCTCCTTCTTACTGATCCGTTCAGGCGGACAGCACACATTCGGCTATCTACCGGGATCCAGTCAAGCAATGTCTTTTCTGCCCTAGTACTCAAAGCTATCCCTACGCCAGCTAATCCTCGTGAACTAGCTGTGGCATCTCCTGACACCCTCAAGGTGAATTTTGCAGATTCAACCTGTTGGCCAGGTGGGGTTAGGTGAATAACCACACTTGGGTCTTGTATGCGTGTTTCTGAAACACAGCATACATCAATGGCTCGTGATGCCAGGGTCTTGGCTAGTGATGCTTGTTGTCCTATTTGGCAAAGTGTCCTAACATTAAGAGCTCCTATATGAAATTGGTGGCGCGGCTTTAAGAGGCTGTCGGTGGTGGTTTTTTGGCTTCCATCGTTTTTAGTGGACGCAGAGTGGAGAGGAAGTGGAGAGCTATCAAGTCGAGGAGTTGCATCAGTGGAAGGAAGGCAAGATGATAGAGATGAAGATGAAGACAAAGATGAGTGAGTAATAGAGAGGTTTCGCGTGCATTTCGGATTGTGAGGGCGATTGTTACTTCCCGGCTGCCCACACCGTGGAAGTTGGTTGCGTGACCGCAGAGCCCAGGGGACAACTGCTTGAGGCCGGTCACACGCGGCCTGTTTTTGTTCGTTCTTTTTTGTTTGGTGTGCCTCAGTAGCATATTTATCACTCCTGCCCTGTGACACGGCAGCAGGAAGCGCGGTCGTTGTTAATCCGGGCCACGGCCGATCCGGCATGAAATTTTGTGATTTTGTATTGGACATGATGTTGGATTGGGTAGCTGCTTTTTGTTTAACCGCTATCCAAACAACCTGCCTGGCATGGTAGACCTCAAGAGACATAAGTCTCAGCCAGTATAGCTTGAATAGATCATTGCGGTGTTCAAGCCCGACCACCACGTCAAGGTAGCAGCTTTCGGTCGGGAGTCATCGTTCTACACCTCACTATCCACGAGACATGGTAACTAAACTATTAAATATACTGTTCACTTTGTAGTGCAGGGGTTTTAAAAGAATACTAATTTTTTTATTACAGCTTGATTCCACACCGTATTTTTGATTCAAATACGGAATTTTCAGCAAGTGATATCGGTAGCCCAAATTTTGCAGGCCGACCATAGATATCAGGTGTGGGTAGGCCGGGGGTCGAACCCCGGACCACATGCGTGGTCGGAGAGCATTCTGCCGCCGTGCCACCAACGCGTCATCATACATTACAGTTGATTACTATTACATTATCCACGCACACAAACGCATATATATATATATATATATATATATATATATATGTGATAAGAAAGGAAATTGAAATGATTCGTGATTGAGGAATGATTCTGAAGTTTATTTCAACATCTATATATGCCATGACTATGAAATACAATATTGATGTTAACATTTTCATATAAATTATATTATCTCACCCAATAAATAAACAAATAAATAGACTACATTTCAGCATAAGGACAAAGTATATTTTTCTTTAGTCTCATGAGTAAATGTGAGCTGGCTTTGTGTAGCTCCTAAAGCTCTATGTCTGGGATAATTTTTATAAACGCTCTAAATCTCTGGTGTTATGTTCAATTTCACTGATGACTAATATCGCTTGTAAATCACCGAAAATCAGAGAACAACTTTGATAGTGGTGTGTGTTAGTATTTTTAATTCCCGGAAAATGAGGAAGTTATGGTCTTTTATGACTACTGTAATATATATGTGTACATATTAGAACTGCTTTATCATTATTTATTTTATTCCTCTGCTTTCCAAGTGGAACATATGGCTTCAGTCTTGAGCTTTGAAGTTTCACCAGCGCAGGGATCTCTTCATGGAATGGGGTTGAACCTACAGCTAGAGGTCAAACCCCGGAATATCTTCTTGGTCGGTGAGCATTCTAATATTGACATACTGGCTCACTACTAGAAATGAACTCTTTAAATGTTTATTTCTGTACATCTAACAATGTTGAGATAAGGTAATTATAGGGCGCATTTGATTAGTTAGTGTTCTATTTCATTAATTTTTATCAGATGTTTATTGCACAGGATAATATTTCACTACAGATATCAGACATCAATCAAAATGAGTACGCTATACTTTCAACAGGTTTATATAGTTACAAACTTTATGCTACAAATGCATCAGAGTATGCTTCTGATGTCTATCCAATTTAACCGACAAGTTAAAATACGGTGAAAACACCAACCGATTATGAATAACTTATAGATTTAGTTAATCTTCAGTTTTGTGATTCACTCGCTGAAAATCACCACTCAAGTATCGACGACATGAAATTCATTACTGTTCAATTGCCAGTTAACATATATGTAATCTAGTTGTATGGAATAATAATCGTGTCTCGAACAATTTAGACACAACACTTTAGGCCAAAAAATTAGATGACGAAAATTCTAACTTCCCTTTTAACCTAGAGTTAACTGAGTCTCAGTCAAACTTAACTCCTTCGAATCTACTTGTGAGTTAATGAGTTTCATGAATTGCCTATTAACAATACTTAAGTAGTATTATCATTTTAATATTACGGAGATATACAACTATACTCACCTTTTTGTTTTCCAGTGACATGTACTCATGAGTAAATGCAGCATATGTGAACTGTTCTTCTTTAGTCAGTTGTTTCTCAAAATCTGTTAACTGTTCATATGATTTACATCTTAATAAATTCCAAAGTTGTTGAGCTCCAGGATTCTCACCCAAATGTAATTTCAATAAGTCAATTATATTAAAGACACTATTTGCTCTTGATTTACGGTGCTTATTATAATTATTATTGAAAAATGTTGACAGACGTCGTTTTGATGAAATTGACTTGTCACTTAGCAGTCTTTCATTATTTTGTAAATCAAATAACCATGATTTAATATCTGAACGAAACGGTATACGGGCTCCACGTAGCATTCCATTTGGATAACCACCGAGTAATAAACGTTCACCTTTTTCATTATCATTTGATGTTAATAAGTCCTTATCAATTGATTTGATACTAGAAGATTTTTGGAAATTGGGATGACAAAAGTAATCAGCTGTTTCTTGACCCCAAAGGTCGTCAAGAATTTTTTTATAGTAATTGTCATCATCGTCATCTTCATTGTTCGGAGTCTAGAAATAAGGCAAACACGACAAGGAATATCTAGATTTTATCTGCTTCTGTTACAATGAATAAATAAGTTAAATATAGGTAAATATTTGATGATTGTTCACACTAACTTAAAATATTTGAGTGACACTGGTGTTTGACGGTCACTAGACTTTTTAACATGAATTCAGCATTTGGCTTCGCCAGTATAGGAAGCCGCCTTTATGATACATTTCGTTATGAGTTCTGGGGACATATGTTATGCTATTGATTTTACCCGGGTGGGAGTCACGATGTGTTGTAACAGCCTACAGGAGGTCGCTGTCTAAAATATTTAACTTCAAATAGATATAATAACAGAGGTAACTTCGTGTTCATATATTTTCAGAATCAACTTGCGATTATAAAAATTAATAATTGATTCGGAGCACACAGACGACATAGTCATCTTAAGTACAGACGCTGATGAAAACATTGTCATATCAAGTGATGGTTTGTAGGGATTTGATTGATTTCAGATTTTCATCATGAGCTGACATTAGTTAGAGAACCATTGGAAAACCTGGGAGTACTGGGCAGCTGTTTCGTCCTAGTTTGGGACTCTTCAGCAGTACGCACCCACCGGGATTCGAACCCATATATCATATCAATTTTCTGAGAAGACAAAAATATTCGAATGTCGGTGGAATTTTATTCTGTACCTTCCGGAATCTCAGACGTGGAGTGGTTGACTAGCTTCGAAAAATCTGTCTATTTTGATCTGTATTGTCTCTGTAACTAGTTTGTAGTTAATTTTTAAAAGGAAAACCCCTTCTTATGGGTTTCATCTGAAAACATTACCTAATTAGCAATATCCTGTATTTTCAGTTGATTTATAATGGACCAGCGGTAAATTCATAATTCTTTTTGCGCATCTAAACCATGAAGCTTTAAAATGTAAGTGAAACAACTGGTCTTATCTCTATCAGTGTTCCCTAAGACAAAGCTTCATTGTGCACAGTGTTCTCAGGACTGCTTTCCTTTGATACTTCAAGAACCATTATATTCAATATGAAGCATTTTACAGTATCAAATATATGAAATTTGTTATCTAAATGACAATACCTGGTGACAAGTTGGTCAGTTTAGTTATTGACTTTAATTGGCACATAATAGAACTTTAATTATTTACAAGACTACATATGAGGATTGATGTGATTTAAACAAAGTTTCATCTGGCTAAAGTTGTCACTATTAAGCTACGAGGAGTTGGAAGTGATGAGCAGCTGAATAATGAATCAGTGCTTGAATGGTAATGTTTTGACCGGGAAGCTTAACACACTTTGGTTTTATGTTGCTTAGAGATGCGAGTTTATCCCATTAGACAAACACAAATAAAATATTCTACGCAAAATGGACATACACACATAAATTGGTTCCATGAGTCCCAGTATCGACAGTATTAAGAACTCATTCTTCAACACTAACCTGGGCTCTTTAGTGAACAACTTCGATATAACGGCATGAGCAATGTGGTGCTGTCCTACGACAACCGGCTCGACTATCTGGATTTTAGCACAGAACAAGGAAATAACAGGGTATCTGAAAAACTACCTACTTTAATTATCACAGTTTTTGCTTAACTACTTGCAAATCGTGTCTGATCAGAATTTTCTTCGGCAGAGTAAGTTTAATATGTTCCGAAATTAGGATTTGTGGAGAGTTCACGCTTATTGAAGAGAGTCTTATGAAAAATGGATATACAAGGGATTTCATACTGAAGTACTGAAGAGAAGAAACTTCTAGTCTGAAACTGGTAAAACTTAAAAAGAAACAGGTATTTATAAGAAGAGAAATAAGTAACAGTAAAAATCAGAAAACGAACCGTAAGTGAAGGACATTTCCCGGCGCTATATTGATTCCCCTCTATAATACAAAATGCTCATTAATTCAGTCGAAAGTAGATATGTATCCTGTACATTTCAATTCCAGTTACATTTACCCATTCACGTGCATTTGCAATAGCAACACACAGGAATGACTGAGAACAGAGCATTTATTAGATTTCCTCAGGATATTTGTGAGAGCTTAAGTATGAAAAGTAAGAATTATTTGCAAATATGATCCCTAGGCATTTGACTGATATGAGACATTTATTTAAAGTCAGTCAGTCCTTCAAAATAATCGGTATCTAGAGAAAAGCTTTGTTTTGCAGAAACCATTGCTATCAAATGACTGGAATTAAATGAACTATTTATGCTCTGGTTAAGTTTCATGTTGATATCATCCTTTCTCTACTCTGTAACTGTATCGGCGTAGTGCTCAAATGACGTACGTTCATCCATTTATATCTTGCAAACATATTCGTCCTTGGCTTTTTGAAATTAATAAAGAAGACCAAGTGCATGAATTTTCTAGTTCTAATGAAAAGCCACGGCCGGTGCCGATTATTTAGTTGAAGTTCAGGACGTCAACCTCTTGGATTCAATTTCACGTCATACAGCTTATCATATTGTTATTCTTTTGGGTGATAATACATATATTGTCTTCTGTGCACTGTTCCATGTTCTAGAGAAAATAGAAATTCAGGAACTTGGCTTTAAGTTAAAGCAGTAAAGTTGATAAAAAAAGGAGAAAAAAGTAGGGAACAGTTACAGAAAAAGACCAAGATGTGAGAACACGACTTTTAAAAGAGAATGGAGGTTAAGAAGTTTTGGGATAATTAATCTATAGCATCTTACCAAATTTTAAACCACACTACTTCAAAGACTGATTCACAACAGTCATAAAATTTCGATCAGGAAGCCCACAAGTCCCCCATGTGATTGAAACTGTCAGTTAGAGAACTCATGGGTTATTATTATGTTTTTGTCTTATCGACGGGTAATTCCAAATTAGTTCCATCTCATCCAGCATTGAAGTCATAAGACCTATGCCGAACCTGATTAGTGGAAGTTCACAACCTCATCTTGCAACTGGCTCCATGTGCTTACGCTAGATATCACTAATTTTTTATTTGTCTACGCATCCAAAATTTTACACACTCTTTAATTCTTTCATATTCACTGACACAGTAATGAGTTGGCAAAAAATAAACATTTATTCAGTTTACTCACCATTTGTTTGTCATTTGAATACGTCATTTTTGCCAGAGGGAAACTTCTATTACCATTTTCCAAATGCTCTGGTTGAATAAACAAATACATGTTTTGATAGTGAGACTTCCCAAAAAAATATCACGAGTTTGTTCGACAGACGTTAATGCGATGATATAATTATCAAAATTGAAATAAAATCTTGAGGCGCAAAATAATTTCATTAACTAGCTTTCAGATTACCGCTTAATTTTTCTACCGATTGAACTTTGTGACCCAGATGGTAGTTATAACTTAAAGAAGTATAAATTACGAAAGGTATAATATCTACTGAATAGATCTTTATTACCACAAACATGTGGTATCATAGACACTTAGATATTAATTATGTAACCCGACTAAGAGACATGTAATTGCTCCCATGCAAGCTAAACTTACTCATTTCTGTAAGCGTTTCGTAGGTCTGAATGTGCTTTTCGGTTTAGATGTTATCGCTGAGAAAACAAAAATAGGCACACATAAATTCTTGTTAAATAAATGGATGAACTTCACTGGTGACATCCCTATCAAAATTCGCATGGGGTTGAAATGAATAAATATGAGGTTTGTCGATGAACTAACTTAAACTTATTGGAAGTTTTTTTCCTACAATTATCACATTCTAGGACACAATCAACTACAGATGCACGCCATCTGTACCAGTATTTTTGGTTTAATGTCATCAAGACACTATATGCAAATGGCATATTCCATTCTGTGTCAGTAAATGTTTGCTAAGTTAAACTGCATGATTAAACCCTGCAGATACTTTAAATTACCACATTTTATTTCTCACCAATGGTTATTTTATGTTTAAGGGTTTAACATTAAGGGAAAAGAGAAAGAAAATAATTTAAATACATGTTGTAGACAGACATGGATGGTGTCGATAGGTTCAACCAATGCCTCGGATAATAATGTGAACTTAGAAGACATTTGAAGAGCTTTAAAGCAACATTTTAGTGACAAATAAAATTGCAGGATTCTCGCATACCTAACATCAGAAAAGACACAATCCATTTAGGTAATACGCCAACACGGTAGTAATTTTCTACTCAGATGTTCGGCGGTAAGCAGTTCTAGCATCTTAACTCACTTGAAAAATGATGACTATTCAAGGCTTTTACCTACGTTCTGAATTCTTAGTATGATTTATGACCACCTTTTTATATCCATAAGCCAGACTATATGAGCATCAAAGTTAAATAGAATTATTCTTTTGGTAGTTATTACGAATCTGACCAAGAATGGAGTTAGTTGACAGTATTTTTGTAGAAATAGTAGTTCACTTATTATTTCAATAAATTATGCTTTGTGTTAACATTGCAGCAAACTGAAAACTTAAGATCCATGAGTGTACTATGGGATGCATCCATAAACAAGTCTCAAACTGCTCCCAGACCAACCACTACAAAAACAGTAACCTTTCAAACATTTAAATTCCAAACTTTAACATTACATTTGTTTTAAACTCCAAACAGACATACTCCTCAGATAAATGCTTGATAATTTCCAGGATAACCAAGAGATAAGCTAATAACTTACCAACGACAACTGGTAAGCTTTTTATGAAGTCTTTTATAGTTATGAGCACAGAAGACTAAAAATTACAATTTTTGAGAGGAAAAGATTGAACTGAGAGAATGAATGAATTTGATGGGGAGAAACTTTTAGGAAACTAAGACAGATGAATCAAGCAATATTTCTGTGGTATAATTTTCCAGGCCATAGATGTTACGAATTTCCTTGGTCTGTCCCAAAGGGTCGGAAACAGTGCCCTCCTTGGATAAATCAAGAGATTCGTAAGTTACTCAGACGTAAATACAAATGCTGGAACCTGTTTGCCACACTTGAGACTCCTGAGACCAGGAAATTATACAACGCTGCTAGGAATAAAGCTATCGCAGAAATCCGCCAATCAGGGATGAAGTTCGAAGCACATCTGGCTCAAAATGCAAAGACCCAACCCAAGAAAATTTTCTTGTACATGAACATCAGGAATAAAAAAATCTAATGATGTCCCAAACCTAACTATTAACAATGACACAATCGAAGATCAAGAAAAAGCAGAAGCAATGAAAGACTAGTTCTCCCAAGTCTTTACACATGAGTTATCACTCCCTATAGGGTCAGCTCTGGCTGCATCTGAGGGACACGGGATAGATTCCGTTGATATCGACCAAGACATAGTGCTCAACTGCGATATGAAATCAGATGCAGGGGAATCATTGTGTCCTGGTAATCTTCACTCAAGGCTTCTCAAGGAACTATCAGCTCACATAGCCGGCCCTTTGACCACGATCTTCAGGATATCTCTCCTAAATGGAGTGTTGCCGCATGACTGGAAAGACGCCATAGTAACCCCTATCAACAAAGGAAAATCAAGACAAAGCCATTCAAATTACAGGCCTATTAATCTCACTAGCGCTTTAATCAAGACACTGTAAACAATCAACAAGAAAAGTATCATCGCATGTCTGAAAAACAACAAAATGTTATCCAGAGCACAGCACGGCTTTCGAAGAAACCTCTCATGTCTGTCAAACTTCCTCACTGCAAGAGAAAGCTGAGCCAAATCAAGGGACAAGAGAAGACCCGTTGATGTCTTCTTCATAGACTTCAGTAAAGCCTTCGATAAAGTTCCTTACAAAAGACTACACATGAAGCTGGAAAGTCTTGGTATCAAAGGCAGATTACTAAACTGGCTCAGGGAATTCCTCATGGATAGGAGGCAGAGGGTTAGGATCAAGTCTAAACTCTCCTCTTGGACGGCAGTGCGTAGCGGAGTGCCATAAGACATGGTACTCGGAACTCTCCTATTTATTTTGTATATCAATGAGTTGTCTCTGCTCAACGATTCCCCTATGGTCCTATACGTAGACGACTTTAAAATTTGGAGAGGGCTGAAGGGCAACAGTGATACGCCCACGTTGCAGGAAGACCTCAGCAAATTTTTAGTGGTCCAGAGACTGGATGCTCCCTATCAATGTGGCAAAAATGTGCAGCCATGCTCATCGGACAAGCAAGCATCAGCTTCCACGAACAAGAGGGGATAACGCTCCCATCAGTTCAGACTCATTTGGATTTAGGTGTTATAGTTAGCCACGATTTGAAAACTACAGCACACTGTCGCGAGGTGGCTGCACGTAGTTTCAGATCCTTATGGGCGATTTGCGGAGCCTTTACTAGAATCCTTAGGGATATGTTCACCTCTTTATATACACCTCTGGTGAGGTCAAGACCAGGAAACTGTATCCAGGCAGCCAGTCCTTGTCTTAAAAGGGACTCACACATTCTAGAAAGGGTTCAAAGTAGGACGACACGTATAGTCCTCGGAGTGACTAACTTATCATACGAGGAAAGACCAGACAGTTTAAATCTCTTCTCTCTGTCATACCGTAGGCTGAGAGGAGATTTAATCACAACTTTTAAAATTTTAAGTAGTGACCACGGACCTGACCTATTCTCTCTTTTCCTTCCCACTAGGTCGGAACACCTTAGAGAACACAGTAGGAAAGTTCAAAAGTCAAGAAGAAATCATACTACTGTTGATTACTGGTTCTCACACCGAGTCATAAACTCTTGGAACCAACTCCTAGAAAAAGGAGTGTCTGCGACCTCCCCTGATTCATTCAAGAAGGGTTTGGGCAACCACAGAAATTTACTAGAAAATGGTTAACATAGGCTCCAACCCTTCTATCCTCAACCAACAAATCTGAATATGAATTTTTTTCCCTAAACACGCTTGGATTACTTTAAATTATTTATAAAGATTTTGTGTTAGTCATATTTATGAAAATAAAATTAGATACCGGTATAGCGCACCTAATGAAAACAATGTGATATGAACATGATGACTGAATAGGAAGACCGACTAATAGGCACAACTGAATAAAAGAGAGGTTATTTTGTTTTAATAAAGAGATGAATTTCTTATAGACAAGGATAATGATTGTATTAGCATAGCATTACATATTAGCTGATAATGCTTCAAGCACAGTCTGTCTTTTGTAGTCCTTTGTTAGAAATCTACCCTATCACAGGGCCGAAATTCTACCACTTTATTTTCTGGTAAGACCGAAATTTGCAAATCTTTACAACAATGATTAATATACCAGTCTTGAGAAACTATCAGAACCAAAAGTCGAAATAAAAGCTGCAGAATAAGCACCTTGTTTGCATCTAGGTGTAAATGAATGGCAATAATTGAGCTTTCTATAGCCATGATAAACAACTGTTTCCATACTGCCGATACTTACATGAATGATCTTTAGTGTATAAAATTCTGAATAACTCATTTTTTTGAGTGGGAGTGGTATTAACTGGTACTCATTCACTTTTTCTATACCCACATAATTCTCCGACTCTAGCTGGTAAACAATTGTTTATTTTCGGGCGCATGTGGAAGTTTTGAAGCAAAATCTTCGGGCGCATAGACTTACGTGGGACAATACTTCTAAGCCCCCCCCCCCAAAAAAAAAATCTGCGATGCGCCAGAAATCACTGGGCAAGGTGAATTTAACTAGAAACTTCATACGTATGTCCCCATTATTCGCATTTTGTCCCTATTCTTAAAGATGTTGTCCCCATTTTGTCCCCATTCTTCAAGATGTTGTCCCCATTTTCCCCAAAATGTCCCCACATTTGTCCGATCGGGACTGCTCTCACTATTCGTTGTAAAACTATAATGTGGAGTGAGCTGTGGTTCACTTATGACATTTGAAAGATTATTGTTAAAGTTTCCCTAACTGAGTAGTGATTGTAATTTGTACCCATATTCGACATATTTTTCCTTAAACCTAAACGTAATGCTTCTGGTCAAGAAAAATTATGAGAATATTATGAAATATGAGGGTTATTTTCCGGTGAAATTTCTATTAAGATTAAAACTCAACCACGTGGATCAGTCATATGAGACGACTGATTCCCAACTCAACTGTTAACAATTTAAATATTTGCGGATGGTTGTCATGCTAATCCAGCACCGACATATCCAATATCCAATATCCTGATGACGAGCTAGTATAAACCAGTGATTTCTTTGAGCTCGCTTCTTGATTGTGAGGTAGAGGTTCCAGATCTTCGGTGAGCTTCTGCGTAGTAAGTCCCGACACTCGACTGCTTTAGCTCTGGTAGACTCCAGGAGGAGTGGTGCGGGGATTGGTCGAGATGTGGTTTGTAGTATGCAGTATGTTAGGACTGTATTGCTGCCGTGAATGGAGTTTGACCTAACTCCCCTTGGTCATTCGGTGTAGTCATAAAAGCAGAATAGTAATAATAATAATAATAGGTTGTAGTGTAGATAATATAGGTTGAGATAAGTGGAATAATAAAGGTGACATAAGGAAAAGATAGAGTGAGAGAAGGCAGAATAGGTCGTGGGGATTTAGTTAGTACGCTTATTCATTGACAGTTTGGTTTCAAATTTTATGAGGATAAGCCATTGAGACACAAACCTTGCATTTCTGCATGATTGTCTAGCTTCCGCTTAAAAATCTCCACAGATGGCGCTGTAGTCACGGCCGCCGGTAAAGCGTTCCAGAGACGGCAAACACGAAGCGAAAAGAAATGTGATCGCACTCGAGTCTTTGGTCTCTGGTGTGCTATCCTTAGCGGGTTACCTCGTGGAAGCCTATAATCGCTTAATGGCAGGATGCTTTTATTTGGGTGGGCCTGGTCATTTAGGATCTTGTAGACGGTGATGAGGTCTCCCCTGTGCCTACGGTAACTGAGTGTGAAAAGACCTAATTTCTTTAGTCTTTCCTCATATGATTTGTTGCGGAGGCCGATCACCCATTTTGTCGCTCGTCTCTGGACACTTTCTAGAATGTTAGCATCCCTTTTGAGTAGCGGAGGTGCAATGATATTATGCACCTCAAGGTGTGGCCTCACATATGCCTTGTATAGCCTTAAGAACAGTTCGGGAGTGAGAGCTCCCAGCTGCCTGTGCATAAAGTGTAATGTTGCGTAGGCTTTGGCGACGTCCCTCGAGTAATTTCCACTGGTGTCTAGCTTTTCTGTTAGAATAAGACCTAGATCACGCTCTGATGGAACACAACTCAAGTTCTGGCCACCAAGGGTGTAATTTACACTCTGTGACCTGCCGGAATGAAGCTGCACTACTTTGCACTTCTTTAGATTGAAAGGCATTCCGTTAGCCAAAGCCCAATTTCCCAGAGTTTGCAGGTCAGCCTGCAATCTATCTGAGTCTTCCGATGAGTTTATTGCTCTCCAAATCTTTACGTCGTCAGCGTAAAGAAGCGCAGAGCAGTTTAGTTGGGGGGGCAGGTCATTGATAAAAATCAAAAACATCAACGGCCCTAGGATAGAACCCTGAGGAACCCCTGATGCCGAGGTGTGCCAAGATGATCGGATGCGGTTGACTTTGGTGCAGAATTCTCTCTCGCCTAAGTAATCTGTCAGCCATGCGAGAAGTGCTCCAGAAACTCCCGCCTTGCCTATTTTGTGAAGGAGCAGACCATGGTGAACTGTGTCGAATGCTTTCGCAAAGTCGAGAAAGATCACGTGGGCTGGTACCTTTTTGTCCCAGGATAGTGTCCAATCGTTCCAGGCTAGTAGAAGATTCGTCACGCAGGATCTTCCCCTCCTGAAACCGTGCTGTGCTTCGTGAAGAAGGTTAGTCCCATCGAAGTATTTTCTCATGTGGTCGTCAATGAGACTTTCCAATATCTTCGATACCACTGGAAGTAGAGCAACTGGTCTGTAACTGGTCACATTCTGCCGGTCACCACCCTTGAAGATAGGGGATAGGATTGCACGTTTCCATTCACATGGAAGTTTCCCTACATCAAGGGAGTGTTGGAACAGATCACTTAGGGGTTGACAGAGACTTTCTGAACACTGCTTC